TATTGAAGATAAAACCAGAAGTACACCCGTAGGGGTATATATTGAAGATGAAACCAGAATCATTATTCTTCTGAGTTCTTCGCAAAAAGCAAGAGACGCGAGCAAGCAAACAAGATCAACAAAGATCAAGAGAGTATCATCGCATACGACTTTATCGATCAAAGCTTCATCTACAAGCTACAGTGAAAATGGTGATTCAAAGAACGGTATAAACATTTTTTACTTTAGAAAATTTATACAAGTGTTCTTTAAAAATCACATTTCACTACACCACTTACACTAACACTTTCAAAACATTTTTAAAATACTCTTTCTATTTAAAATTAAGTATTTTTACAAAAACCTTCAGTGTTAATCGATTAACCATATGGGTTAACCGATTAACACAATCTAAAATTATGTTTTTGGGACTTCATAACAGTGTTAACCGATTAACCATATGGGTTAACCGATTAACACATGAAAATTTCAAATATTTTTAAATGTTGGAAAGGTGTTAACCGATTAACCTATTTGGTTAACCGATTAACACTGTAACAACAACAAGAAAATAACAGTTTTTCATGGAGAATTGCATTGTTCTATATTTTCTTACTGGCTATTTTTTACTGTCCCAAAATCACACCTTTTTGGAAAGGTTTTTCACCCGTATAAATTGATTGCTATTTCAAAATAAAAAACAAACTTCAAGAAACAAACTAATCAAATTACTCTTTGTCTTCAACCTTTTGAATTTTCATTAAGTGTTCAAATTATATTTTGAAAGAAGCCATTGAAATAATTTTCACACTCTCACAGTCTTCTTTCACAAACAACACTTGTATATTTTATCTGAGTATAATTTGTTTCAAGAAGAAGATCAACCTTGAAGATTGATAAACAACTTTCCATCAATTATTTTATCAAGAACATTTTATGTATTATCTTGTTATCCAGGACTGTTGGAAACAAGTGAAGTGTATTGAAGAGGATTGTTCTTCAACACTTGGAATTACCTATAGGTTTAGATAGTAAGCATCACCTTGGATGTGATTAGGCTTTACAAAAATTCTGAACTATAGTGAAATACTCTTTCGAGTCGAAAGGGGAGTGGAGTACCTTCGGAGTGTAAAGGGAACCACTATAATTTCTTGTGTCTTTTTCTTTCTGCCTTTACTTTCCGTCAATAACTTAACAACCAAGAAAAAGAACCAAGGAACCTTAACAAGATTGCTAATAATTTTTGAAGATCCTAATTCACCCCCCTCTTAGGCGCAGTTACTTCTTACATTAACTATGAAGTTCTTATTTGTTAGGCTACCGAAAAGAAGACGAAACTTATTGGTATAGGTAGTACCAATCAATCCTTATAAGTATTCCTTCAACCATGCAGTCTCATATCTGTAAAGCCTCAGGACCCCTCTCTTTCCAATGTGATTTCGGTTTTTGCCTAAAAGCTGCCAGGAGCCGCTCATTGTCATGCCTTGTGCACCTATGACCACTCCCCACCCTCGTCGGCCTCGAGTGTTACACACCCTCCAGCTTCTGCTTGGTTCATCCTCGAACCAAATCATAATAGGAGAGGTATGCTCTAATACCATTTGATCTACATTCCTAAACTGCTTTCAAGATTGTTGATTGACCCCAAAAACCAACACGAGTCTTTTCAGCCTATTTTGTCCTCACTCACACGTTTTATGGGAAATTTCCCAAAATATCACACATTCAAATACTACTCCAAGTCAAACACGCTTAACTATTAAGTTCTTATTTGTTAGGTTATCAAAAAGAAGATGCATCTTGTTGGTATAGGTAGTATCAATCAATCTTTATAAGCCTTCCTTCAACCATGTAGTCTCATACTTGCAAAGCCTCAAGATCCCTCTCATTCCGATGTGAATTTAATTTTTGTCTAGAAGTTTTTAAGATCCACTCATTGTCATGCCTTGTGCAACGACAACTACTCTCCACCCTCGTTGACCTCGAAAGTTACATGCAGATTGTTGGAAAATTCTCGGTTGCTGCAATAAATTATCCTTACTTGCACCTAGGACAGCTTTTGAAGGTGTCAATCAAATTCAAAATTGTTGGGATCACATATGACACATTCAAACTCAAATTGTTCCCTTATTCTTTAAGGTATCACGTTAAAAGATATATCAACTCATTATAGTCATATTCCATTGCCACGTGGAATGATATGGATGGGAAATTATTAGCTAAATACTCCCCCATATCAAGAATGTTAAGATGAAGAACGAAATCACATCATTTAGATAAGGGGAAGACAAGTCACTGTTTAGGAGAAAAGTGAATATTTCACGTGCTACAAAGTTGGATGTATTTTACTTAGGATTTGTTAGTATTATGGATTTGTTAGTATTATGTATTTGTACACGTCATTATCTATTATATATTCAGGTAATAATACTTTTTTGTTAATGCTATTTGTTTGTGTAATTTTTTTTGTTATTTTTTATGTTTGCCTAATTTCAAGGATCAAATATAAAAGAAATAACATTTTGTTGTAAAACACAATTTTAAATTCTAACTCAACCATCATTTCAATACTACCTTAATAAAATTAGGATGTCAAATGCAGATGCAGAAAGGTGGTCGAATAACATTCTATTGGATAAGGGGACAAAGGCATTTAACGGGGGATGTCGTTGGGGCCACACGAAAACAAACCTTGTAGAATCCATGAACGACATCTATCTTCAAAGAAATTAGAAACCTTTCAATCACCACATTGGTGAGATCAACCTATTATAGGTTGACATCATTTTTTGCAACAAGAGGCGAAAGATGAAGTGGAATGTTGATGTTGGGTCAGTTATTCAGTGAATGCATAATGAAAGTGATGAAAGAAGAAACTATCAAAGCCATCACACATGTAGTTACAGTCTTTGACTGTCATAGGCAAACTTTCAGTGTACAGAAAACAATGGACCACAATGAGGGGATGCCAATTTTTTCCTATGCTGTCAAACTAAACAGATGTTGGTGTGACTGTGGCAAGTACCAGGCCTTCTATGTACCTTGCTCATATGTCATTGCGGCATGCACACATGCTCGTCAAGATGCTTATAGCCATCTATCTGATGTTTACAAGGCCATTAACGTTATTTATGTCTACAACGAAGGCTTCACAATGCTAACAATGGAGGAATATCGGCCTCCATACCAAGGGGACATAGTTTGACACAACAATGAGATGTGAAGAAAGAAAAAATTACGCTCAAACAGCATGTGTATAAGAACAGAAATGGATATGGCTGATAAAATGATAAGATTATGCAGTATATGTTGTCAGCCTAGACACAATCACATAAATTGTCCCAATGTCGGAGTAACCTCTGCATCATAATTTAGTTTCTCATTTCAATTGTTGTAACCTTATATTTTAATATATTAATGACTTTTTGTTACAACAAAGTTAACAACAAACAACACATACAACAGATATCATAATAGATAAATAAAACATTTTTAACTGATTACAACAATCAAACTGATATCATTTGGTATAAACATCACTTACCTTGCATCCTTGTCCGTCTTAATGCAAACCCACTCACGCAGGGCATCATGTCTCTCGATTCTTCTAATTTCCCCCCTTCAGATATGTCTCTGTCTAACCACCGATTTGAATGTTCCAAAAAGCATGTCCATTAGAGACTTCTTTCTCAAATAGATGACTTTTCTGTAACGACGATACATGTTATCAGTGATACCAATATTTGGGACGATATATGAAAATAAATCATCAGAACACCTCTATTTATAAATAAAAAAAATTCACTTTCAACTCTGTCTCCAATTGAATTGACGACACTGACAATTTACACTGGGCCCTACACTTAGACAATATCCCAATGTGAGATACTTTGAAAAATAATTTAAAAATTGGGTTATTTTGAGATTTTTTTGAGTAAAAACTGAAATGTTTGAGTAAAAATTTGAACATTTATCATATTGGTTGTGTTTAATTGGTGTTTTATTTATTTATTTATGTTGATGTACTATTGGTATTGGTGTTGAGTTTAATTTGATTTACTTGATTCTTTATGCTGTAAAGATCACTTCTTCATGTTCATCATGTTTGAGATTTTAAAATCCAAAAACTTATATAATATTGGCGCAGTTTCTAGATTCCAAAGAATACTTTCAAATTCTAAAATCAAGTCTATAGAAAACGAGTATTCCCGTATATTACTAATAGACAAGTTAGTCTAGAATTGTGTGTGTTTCAGTTACACTAGTTTCTCATTTTGCAAATTAATAAATACATTCTCAAAATTATAAAATATCATTCAAAATAATTTATCAGTTAGTAACTTATATCATCAGAGGTTTGACTCATCATGTTAAATAAATATATCACATACATTGATCTTACATCAATAACACATTACACATTGATCTTACATCAGTGACAAAACTAAGAACTAATTTGCCTGTTAGCAATTGCAAAAGAACATGGACAATAATGGATGCAAAATTGTTTTTTCACAAGAGAATGAAAGAGTGTTAGCTCTCTAATCCTAACATATGGAACAGAAGACTGCTTAGTCTTGGATTGATCCAAGGACTGTGTCGCCGTTGCAGATGATCCGAATTTCAAGTTCAAACAGATTTTGAGATATGTGAGAATAATACAAAACACAAGGTCAAGACTGGAGTAATTCTCAGTAAATCACAGTCCCCAGAGAGGGAGCATAAAATAAATGGTCATAATTGAAATTAAAGTGTAACCAAACTTTTTCTCATCAACCTCAAATTAAGTTGAAAGTCAAAGTAGAAAAGATTTGAATTCAAATTGTTAATAAAAAACTACAACTAAAATCTCAAATTCATGATTGACATTAATGTTAGAAAATCACCAAATCAAAAAGGAAAATAAAAATAAAGATGCAAAAACAGGTAAATCAAAGATTTCTAGGCCTCACTTCCTATATCATATTTTAGCCGGTAATATGAAAAGGAAGAAAGTTGATTGCGCAACTTTCATTGTTCTCTTACTTGCACTGCACTCCAGCTTCAGCAGCTCTACAAGGTGTGCTTTTGCGTCTGCTTCCGTTATGCCTAAATCCGTTGGTTTTTGTAGATTCCTCCGTGCTGGATCGGCTTCCAACGCCATTTTCTTCCTCAACTGAATCTAATTTCTCTTTTACCTGTGAATTCCGTTTCTTTTTCCTTGCAAGTTCTGTTGCTGTAGGACTTTTCACCTCTTTGTTAGATACTCCATTCTTAACATTCTCACCGTTAATATCTTCTAGTTCCTCGATTTCTTCGTCAAAGTCGTCCTTTATCGGTTTCTGTGGCCTCCCTCTTTTCTTCTGTACTGGAACCTTCTCGTCTTCACCACTTATGATATCATCTTGGTTAGTAACTGATAGCTTTTTCCCCTTTCCTCTACCTCTACCCATGTTATCTTAAAATTTCCAGAAAAGAAGCGATCATGCAAACAAGGATCTCTGCAACAGAAGACACATTAATAAACCATCCAAAATAAGAAAATTCACAAATTAAACCATGCACAAAACATTCTAAATTAGCATCGATATAATTAGGTTGAATTCATTCCGACGAAAGAGATTGATAGGCAAAAGCCAAGAATCCCACAAAGTAGTCTCATCAATAGCAGAAAATAGTGATTTGTTCAGACTCAGCTATGCTACAACACTATAAGTCTATAACGCCGCTATAGCAGTTGTTTTACAACACTTTGTATTACATATTGTATAGCAGAATAAAAGCAATTAGTTCAGATTCTGCTATGCTACAATGTTATAGCACTGCAATAGCAGCAATTTCAACACTTTGTACTAAACAACATAACACGAAATAAAAACTATTGGTTTAAGTTCCAGTATAATGTTGATTATTGCCGCACAATGCTGCCACAAACAAATGCTCAATCCGGCACTACTGATTAAAAAAGCTAGCATAAACATATTCTTATATAAGGCTCTTCTTCAACCTTACAAAATGAAAACATGATCTGAAATAAATAACACCATATCTATGATTGTTCTTGTTCATAAACATAAAAAACCTAATTGTGAAAAATCAATATCCCCCAATCAATTTTAAACAGAAACAACACCATATCCATGATTACACCCGCACACTTAAAAAAAAACTCAGATATTTCATTGAGAACCAAAACAAACAAAAAAATCTGATTTCAACAACACCTAATACAGAACTAGAATTAAACTTTAGCTTAAATCTTAAAAGAGTAAACAAACAAAAACAGATATTTAGGGCATAATGAAGAAAAAAAGCTTGAGTAAAAGATCCAGAACAAACCCTATAATAACAAAACATTGAAAAACAAAAACAAGAGAAATAGAAACCGATATATTATAATTGAAATTGCATAAAAAAAAGAGAAATAAATACTAACCAGAAAGGTGGATAAGTAGTTGTGAAAAATGGAAAATGAGAAAATGGAATCTGCTAAATGAGTGAAAAAGAAGAGTCTATAATAAGCAACCTAACATGAAATAGAGTTATTATACATTAAAATGAAATAGATTGAAAGTAGAGTATTATTATTATGATGTGTGGAAAAGAAGAAGAATACCTAGATGATGATGATGATGATGAAACAATGGTTTGAAAGAAATGAAACAGAGGCGAAGTAGGGTGAATACTGAATAGAGATATTTGTGTGTGAGTTTGTATTGGCTCTTCACACTGTGACACTGTTTCTGTTGTTGAGTTTTTATTATTTATTTATTTTTGTGTGAGTAAAAGCGTGATGAAGGAAATTAAATGGGGAGGGGTAATTTGGTAATTGGGGAGATAGTGGTACTGTTAGGGAAAACCGTGAACAGCTAGTTGTGCGCGTAACGGTTAAGTGTTTGGGTTTTGATACTGTGTGTATGAGTGAGGTATAGACTAGGATGGATGTACTTGAAGAATCAACACTACTAGGACTGGGATTGCATTACATCATCATCGTCCTTATTGTATTGTAGATGGGTCAAACGTGATGATGTCACGTGGGTTTCTTTGAGAATTTTAATATGTTTTTTATTAGAATAAGGTATTAATCAATTTATATTTTATTTAAAGATTTTCTTTGCCATATCATTTTTACATTTGTGGCACCATCAAGTAACTTAAGTTTTTATTTAATTACAATGTTAAATTATATTTTATTTGATTCACATAATTAATTTACATATTTTATATTTAAATAGGTTTGATTCTTATATTTTAAATTTTTTTAATTCATATTTTTTACTATAAAGTTTAATAATAAATTTATATATGTTTCACAAATAAATTGTCAATTAAAAAAATAAAAAAACATTATTAATTTAAAGTTTAAAAAAATGAGAAGAAATTAAAACTGTTTAAAATTAAAATTGTTTAAATTTAAAATAAAATGCTGATTTTGTGAATCAAGTAAAATAAAAAAACACAAACCGTAAACCTTAAAAGATAAATTATATCTTTAATAGTTTTTAATGACTATACAAAAATAGTATAGATGATATTTATTTTAATTTTTTATCTGTTATTAAAAGTTTTCATTTATATATGTAAATTTAGAGGAGTTTGGTGCATATTATGTCGATGTCATTTTAAGGAACTATGGAAAATGTTAGTGTAATTTTTCTTTAAAATAATTATAGATTATTTCTTAACATTCAAAAAATTTAATAAATATTTTAAAAACTGTAAATGAAAATAGAAAACCCATAAATTTCATCTTTTCAATCACCTTCAAACCATAGTACCTTCATCCAATTTTGTTTGAAATGAAACTCATCTTTCACTAATTTCTGCAAATCAAATAGACATACACACTCTTATTCTTTAGAGCATTCACATTTAAAAAAACAACTCATTTTAATTTCTTAAATGAATCAATTAATTCTTTTGTTTTATTTTACTTTGATTATTTAAATAATTCATTTATATATTTTTTAATATTTATACAATTCTTTAAAAAAAATTTAAGTGAATCATATTAAAAATTTAATTTACACTCCAAATTTAATTATATATAACTTTTAATCCAATTAAAATGAAAATGTCATTTTTTAATAGGAAACATTGTAAAATGTCAAATATCCATTAAACTCTAATAAAGTATTATTGGTATAAATTAAAATACGATGAAAATTCACTAATGTGCATGGTGTTAGTCCATGCTATTGTTTGCGATACTAGTGGAAAACAAAGAGTAAATGTGATTTTTCATATAAATATTGATTTTATTGAGATTGGAGATTTAATCACTGACATTGTGAACTTCAAATTTGTCGGTGACGGAGAAAAGAAAGGTGGTGCACATGCAAGACACTTTGATGTCAAAGTAAAGTTCAGAGTGAAAAAAGAAAGAGCAAGTATAGAGTAGTGAGAATGAATTCAGAATACATGACCCTCATGCGGGGGAGGGTGTTTATAGCGTGCCCCCGACACTAGGCCAAAGGTCCTCTACTGTGGGCTGGATCATTAGGCCCACAATGGATGACTGTCAGGATCCTACGTGAAAGTAGGAAAGACCAGCACGTGGTCTTCATCCTGGGTCAACTGCCCCACGAACTTCGTAGTGGATTTGCCTGTTCCTTAAGGTGAAACCGCCCCCGTGAAAGGCGTGGGTTTAGTTGGTGATGTGTCATCGCGTGAGGAGCGCGTGGAGAACATGACTTCCAACGACTATGGAGGATTGGACCTTTGAATTGGGTTGTCCTCGACGAGCAACTGGATCGGGCATGCTCGATCATGGGTCATAGGCCCAGTCTAGAACAGGACCCCTAAGTCATTGCTCTTAGGCGGAGGAGAAATAACTTAAGAGACAAATCGTCGTGGATGGTGTTCGCTATAGGGGTCCCATGTACCCGAGGACGCGGCTACGCCTGTGGTTTTCGCATCAAGTTTTCCCCGAGGACGTGCTGCTTATAGTCGACGACGTAGATTTACCCGTAGCTCTGCTTAAGAATGTGAAGGTTGTCGGTCGTGCCCGACGATGTAATAACTTCTCTTTATGAGGACGTTCTCGTGATGGAATGTGGCGAGTTGACGCGTGTGCTCGATAACGTAATAACTTCTCTTCGACATATTGGAATACGGGAAGTTGGGAATCTTGGGAAGATAAACGTCTAATCTTTCCTCATGCCACGCGTGACGGCTATTAAATGCACCATCATGGCCTATCATAGACTAAGGCTTAGGTCATGATGGCCTACAACGACGCGTTCCCCCGCACGGTGATAATGCTTATAAATGGGAAATATAGGGATCATTTTCTCATTTCCAACTTTTCTCTCATTCTGATCTCGTGCTCGCTATTGTTATTCTGTCGCACCGTTGAGTACTACCGCCGATGTCCCCGCCGTCAACTCCCTCTTAGTTTTCCAACCAAGTAAGTGGTTTTCTCCCCCTAACTAATTTACATGTTAGTTCTAGGGTGTGAAGTTGTTTCTTTTCGTGTTTTCCAACGAGTGTATGAGGATTCCGACGGGTTCCACGCATCTCCCGATGAATTTATAAGTTTTTCGATGAGAATTCATGAATTTTTCAGCGAGGTTATGAGGTTTCTGGCAAAACTATGAAGTTTCTGGAGAAGCTGTGAAGTTTATGACGAAGCTATGAAGTTTTCGGCAAAGCTTTATGAATTTCTCGATGAAGTTCGTGAAGCTTTGCTAGATCTCGTGTCGGGGAGACTCTTCCTCGTAAGTATGAATTTTCGATGTTATTTCATGTCGGGGAGGCTCTTCCCCGTGAAGAGTGGGTTTCACGTCTTGTGTCGATGAGAAGTTCCTCACGGTTACATGCTTGTCGACAAAGGCTTTGGTCGAGGACGTGTCCTCGAGCCTTTCCTCGCCCTTTCACTTGATTTGCAGTGGAAAGGTGAATTTGATCTTAACTTCAAATTCACTATTTTCCCTTGATTTTCAAGTTAAATAGCTCAACAGATCGAGGACACCAATCTGGTCGACACAAACGCTGAAACCAACACGGTCGACGCGAATGTTGAACCCGACTTGGGCGACATGAATACTAAACTCAACTTGGATTGGGTCGGGCAAGAACCCCGGGAAATTGTTTTGCATTTTGCCTCTGACGACTCAGATGTTTTTACTGTCGTCGAGGACAGAGAGGAAGGGGCCCTTGCAACCTGGGAGATGTACAAACCCAAAGAAACAAACCGAATATGCTCAACATACAAGGGGAAATGCTTCATCATGTACGATTTTACCTTCCATGAGGCAGGGTTTTGTCTGCCACTCAGTGACTTCCAAGTGGGGATCTTACAATGGTTGGAGTTGGCACCCTTTCAGCTCCACCCGAACGTATCGCATTTGTGCGGGCATTTAAGCCAACACCTTCAGATCAGTGCTACATTCCCACTATTCTTCCGTCTTTTCCACCTTCAGCAGAAATTATCGCACGGGCATCACAA